AAATGGTATAAGCAATAGCGAAAAAATTATTATTCTAGTTCACTGTATTTTCTTACACGAAGGTTTTCAAACAATTTCTGATAATATTGTGAGAAATAAGTTTTTTTTCGCTATATATCATTTAGTTTCGTTTTCCTAAATAGCGTGATGTAATTTTGAAGTTTCAACGAAATGGTCATACAATAATAAATGATTATATTAGAGAAGATACAATCATACAAGCTAAACATTCTTTCTCGAAAACAACATACACACTTATTCTTACTGTAAGTCTATGATATAAAATTAAATCAATTATTTTTTATTTTTGTTGCAGTGTCAAGGAAAAAATTTAAATTAACAACAGAGTACAATGAATTTTTATTACCTGAAGGGTAAGATTATCAATAATTTAACATCAGTTCATCGGATAGCTTTTTCAGAAATTTATTCGACATCAGTGAAATAAGTTGTACGATTCGTGGCTATGTTGGACAACTTGTCGTCTACGATGGTTTAAAAAAAGATAGAATGATAAAGGACGAAAAGCAACGAAAAAATGAAGACAAAAATGAACATGAAGGTGAAGATAAAGACGAACATGAAGATGAAGGTGAAGATGAATTATCATCGAATGTACATTATAGATTATCGTCTCATCAATCCAATTTTCATCATACATTATCATTGAATTCAATAAATTGTCATGCTACATCACCAATGTATCCGATGATATATTATAATCCATTATCATCAAGTGAACAAAACTATGGTACTAATTGCTTGTCTTATCCAACAATGTATTATAATCCATCATCAAATCAAGCAAATTTTAATGCTACATCGTCATTTTCTCCACCGATGTATTACAATTCATTATATTCAAATCAAGCTAATTTAGGTACTACATCATCATTATGTCCAACAACATTTTCCAAACCAACATCATCACATCAAATAAATTCTGGTGCTGCATCATTATCATGTTCAACAACGTTTCATAATCAATTATCAAATCACATAAATTCTAATGTTACATCACAATTACGTCCAACAATACTCTCGAATTCATCATCATTAAATATGGCAAATCCAAATGAAGAAGCATCATCAAATCCTGCAGAAAGATCTTCATATACAATGTCAACACCTATGGTCGAAAATACCAACATATGGAATACATATGAAAACGAAGACAATTAAAACTATTTTATTCTTAAGATAACTTTTATTTCTAAAAAATGTAAACATATTTACCCTCTAATATTTATTTAATATACGAAAATTAACTTTAAAAGCAATATTTTTTTCTAAATATATATAAAAAAAAGATGTAGTCGATTCAATGTTTCACATACTGGTCGCGCAAAGGATAGCAGAAAAGGCTCAGTCTCCTCCAGGAGAAAATTATTGAGTCTATCTGTTCTTCTCAAAAAACTTGAAAAATCAAATAGGATATAGATCAAAAAGGTTATTCTAAACTTTTCACTAGAATTTAGATTGACGTTTGCGAAAAAATAGTGCATTTCATTTCTTCATTATATGCTATTCTTTAATATTTCCTCACATTTTTGTCGAATGATGTTTGCAAAAATAACTCATCATTTTTTGACGCGTCTATTTCTGATGTCTGTAGAAACTGTTTAAGGGACCCCCCCCCCCTTTCCGGCGTTTCTAAGAAACGGCCGAACGAAAATTCCTGAAACTTGGAGGATAGATAGACCTCGAGTAGTGGAGCAAAAGTTGTCATAGACACAAATTTGCCAGATGTCATCTTTATGGACTTCCAGAGACCCCAAGGTCAAAAACTTGCAAAAAGTTCCCCCCCCCCCCGCAAATCCACAGATTTCATCCGTTTGAGCTGAAATTTTTACTGTGGGTAGACGGACCCAATCGGGGTGGGCGTTTTTTTTTTTTCAAGAATTCCAAATACTTCAGGCTGGAGAACCAAAATACGGAGCGCTTTGCAAAATCTCTAGGTTTTTTGGATCCTAAAAATTTTGCGAAGCCTGCCAAACTTGATTGATAGAAGGTATCCAAAAAAAAAAAACGCCCAACCCAAATCACTTGAAGTCTCACCAAAACAATTTTCAGCCCGATCGGACTTGAAATGGCGGAGAAAAAGGGGGAAAACTTCATTTTTTTGCTAAAAAAACTGATTTTGAGAAAAACGCAAGGAAATTTGTGTTTTTTGGCTTTTTCAGCATATTTTGTGATTTTTTTCGAATTTTTTATATATAAGATGTGGTTTTTCAGTTCTCAAAGTGTACTCAATGGATAGAGGGCATTTAAATCTACACGGTTGGAAAAAATATTATTCCAGGGGGAGGGGGGTAACGCTATAATTTCAAATAGAAGACATAATAAATTTTATATTAAATGAAAGCTCGTTAAAAATGGGGTTTATTGGTATTAAATAGTGAGGGTTATGAAAACGTTTTAATGTCGAGCTTAATAAATTTTCAGAAATTTTATACTCTTTTTGGGATGGAAAATTAAAGTACTAGTGATTCAAGAATGGAGTAAAATGTTTTTCTTGAATATTTTTACACGGTTCGATAGAGCTCGTCGAGCTCTATAAAACTGTATACATTAAAAAATTTTTAAGACACTTTTTTTTGCGATAAAAAATTCAAAAAACTATTTGGAAAATCTTAGAAAACATGAAAAAAATTCATATTTTTCATTTGGAAGAACAACACTCACTTTTTCAATAAAAGTAGCTTTTTTCATTGTTTTTACTCCGTCAGGCGTTTCGAAACATACTCATTAGACGCAGCTTTTCACACTGCATCGAACGAGTATATTTCGAGACGTCTGAGGTAGTAAAAACAACGAAAAAAGCTACTTTTATTGAAAAATTGAGCGTGTTTCTTCAATTTGAAAAAAAAAAGAGTTTTTAAATGTTTTTGAGGTTTCCCGAGTAGTTTTTTGAACTTTTTATCTCAAAAAGATGCCTCAAAAAAATTTTAACATGCACAGTTTTGTAGAGCTCAACGAGGTCTATCAAACCATGTAAAAATATTCAAGAAAAAAAATTGACTTCATTTTTGAATCAGTGGCACCTTGATTTTCCACCCCAAAAAAATATAAAATTTCTGAAAACTTCTTAAGTTTGACATTAGAAAGTTTTTACAAGCCTCACTATTTAGTATCAATAAACCCCATTTTTGACGAGCTTTCAAATGATATAAAATTCATTATGTCTTCTGTTTGAAATTATAGCGTTACCCCCCTGGAATAATATTTTTTCCAACCGTGTATATACTAATCATAAAAAATGAAAAATGAAAAATGTGAAAATTTTGAGTCGGGAAAGGGGGGGGGGGTCCCGTTAAGTCAATACATGTAAACGTACCTTCAATAAGAAGACGTTTATCAAGAGATTCAGCGGAAACAAAATATACGCTTTCATCGTTCACAATAGAAGAGGAACGTGCATCAAATCTTATCTCACAGATAAACACATCATAATATCAATATTGTATTGGTATTGTGAAATGTCTGTTTACAGATTTTCTGATATGTTTTCAGAGAGTTTTAGAATAAGTGTTATAGAAAACCATCTAAAGCAAGAAGTCACGATGGTAGATTTTCAATTTTCATACGTGTATTATAAATGTCGATCAAAAAGCTGTAAAATAGAACCAGATGGATTTTATTAGAGGAAGTTTGTAATGAATCGTAGGCATTTATTGCCGAGAATTTAGTCAATTTTCTGAAAAGATTATCAGAAAAAAATGCGTTTTTTTCACTACATTTCATTGAAAGTTTGCTCTACTGATCCATTCTCAAAAACTGTATCTGCCTTTTTTTAAAGAAACTAGAAAAACCTCGAAAACATGTCAGAGAATTGTCAAGATAGGATTTGATGCATTGTTATCTCTTCCTTTCAAAGGTAGACACCTCAGGTCTTTGTCATTGTCTCATCATAAAACATAACGAGCCAGCAAAATCGAGATTCGACTTGATTTGAAGTCAAGTCGAGTCTAGTTACCAAATATCAACTGAAACAATATACACCAGCCACTATAGATTAAAATTTCGTTTCCAACTAGGTATCGACAATTTTTCTTTCTTTCTTAGCTATCTCCACAACTATAGTTGTCATACTTCCAAAACCTTCCCTCTTACCAACCACACAGCTTAATAAGGTTTCTTAAAAACTAATCGGCAAACATTTATGGATCTTTAGATGATCGATTGCTCAATTTCCATTATGTACACCCATTATAGGTTGTCTTGTGGTGTGCTCTGAGCCTGAAGCTGTCAGGTGTAGAAAAGCGTTGGAGTACATGATTAACTATGCATCTGAAGCGAGTAAAATAGATGGATAGAGGACTGATGAAGATAATATAGAGCAACCATTGGGAGAGTTTGCAATTAGATTGGAGCAAAAAATTCTTAGAGTACAAGCGAGCCAAAAAGCCAACATGAAGCACGGAAAAAATTACAAACTGCTATTCTTTCACTTTCAACTGTACACATCAATACCTTGCTAGTATCATCTGTGACAAGCATTATTTGAGTTGTATGAAGAGTCGAGTCGATTTGCCGAGTCCTTAACTCGGTTTCGATCCTTTACTCCCTTTAGACGTTTTTCAAAAGATATTCACATCTCTTTTTTTTAATGAATATTAGCAATTTTGAACTACAGTAATAGCTAGGACGAAGACTTCTCTAAAATCTTTTCCTGGCTCTGCCACTAATTTCACACAATCAAATAGAATCTATTTAGATTTAATCTATTCGTTTTTTCCATTACTTGATAATAAACATCATCTTATCATATCAGTTCGAATATTAACATATCTCTTTTGGACTTTATTAATAATGTGTCTGATTATTCTCACAAGTTATTATTGGGCAAGAAAACGTGATATAAGAAAAAGTGTGAATTTACGTGATTTAGAAACATGTTTACATAACTGAATACCAAAAAACTATCTAATAGTTGATGATACCAAAATTAAAATGTATATTTATCATTAATTGTGCATTTCGATAATGTACGTCTAATTTTTTAAGAATAAAAAA